CAGTGACACAGCCCAAAAGGGGATGCTCCCCGGCGTGGGAGGGGTGTGGGGGGCGTCTTTTCACTGGGTGTAGCTGGGCTGTAGGGACTCTGTCCTTTTATCATGGTAAATTGTTTGCTTTCTGCCTTCTATTGACGTACGTACTAAAATTATACGCTCAGAAAAAAAAAAAAGTTTGCAAACCACCCAGCGTCTGATTGAAAGCCGCAGGAGGCAGGAAGGGCGCCCAGGTTAATAGCTCCCTCCGCTATTATAACCTTCGAACACGGTTATGACTGGGGATTGCGACACGTACCGCAGGGCAGATAGCAAATACTGCTTCATGTCTTGGCACCCTGCACCTCACCTGGCCAGGGACACACATGCGAAAGATCGGAATAAATGTTAGATATGGTGGGAGGTGAGCGGGGGGCAGGAGATTTACCCATGCGCTGACCAACAGCATATGGAAACAGGGAACTTGGAGTCTAGATCATACGGTGTTTGTGCGCCCTTGCATCTCAGTACAAGTGGTTAAAGGGAAAGGCAAAGCTCTGGCTGATGCGGATGGGTGTCTGCCGGCTGCCCAGGAGCAACAGGCCTGACCTCGGGAGAGGGGTCTGTCCCGTGGGGCTCTCCTGGGCGTGGGGAGATGCCCAGGGATCAGATGGAAACCTCATTGTGGTCGTGATCCATGTTTAAGCAGACGCCGTGCCAAAACCTGGAGGCACCATCAGACCGATGAGAGAAAGATGCTGAGTGTCAGAGGGTGAGGACCGTCACCGTGGGTGGGTGTGGGTGGCGACCAGAGTCCCCCGCGCCGCCCAGGTACATGCAAATTTATCTGAATATTTCCAGCCTAGAAACAACATTTAAGCTTTCCAGTGAATGTTCTGTCTTTCATAGGCAAAGTTCCATAGTGCTCATCGAGAAGTGGATTTATGAACAGAAAAAGACGGGGCATAGCCTAGATACAGGAAATTACTTTCGATGTCATGTATTCCCATAGCTGTATTATGGAAAATATTATATAGTCACTGTTTGTATATATTTCTGTATTTATAGATTGTAAAAATGTCTCTGGCACTGAGTTGTGCCGCTGGTACGTTGGGATGGAGCCAGTACCACACTGTGTGGGTTTGCCGTGGTGCTTAAAGAGTGACCTGGGAGGTGTGAAGGACTGCAGCTCTCTGCAGTACACACATACACACATATAATGTCTAAACATTCGGCTGCAAACTCATAAGTATTTAAATTTGCAGATGCAGCTGCAAAGAGGGAAAACTACTCCTTCAAGTGTCTCTCAGAAGCCTGTAGAAGATACAAATGTCGGCAAGCTGGTTTGCTAAAAGCCGAAACCTTGGCAATACTCATGGCTGCTGCTGCAAACACACCCAGCCACGGCGACCAGCTCTGGTTAGTGCACAGACTTCATCCCTGACTCTTTGATGTGTCCCCTTGGGGTCTCTATCCAGAGAGATTTCCTAGGAGAGGAAAACACAACTGCAAAGAAAAAAATATTCTCTGCCATCCCAGGCCTGAGTTCCTTCTCTCTCCTCCTGAACATCAGCCCGTGTTTTGCTGCAGACAGAGGTGTTAAATCACTAATAGAGTCCAAATGCAGGGACAGATTATTTTAAACTTTTCCCCACTGCCCTTTCCCCAGAACCATTGTGATCTCGTTCCGTACGTCACGTTTACTGGACCAGCAAATGCTGGAAGATGTTTTAGTTCTTATCTCGGTTTGAAAACCATCCCTTGGCCAGTTCCTTCCCGGATCACGCATCTCCCCACAGCTCCTGGAGCTATTCTCAAAGCCCAAAGGATCAATTTTTTTTCCCCAGGGAGTCCGACCAAGTTTTACAGCCGCCTCTGCTGATGCCCTGGCTCCCAAACCGCACAAAAGCCGTGTCGGTCTCGTTGCTGATGTGTTCATGCTTTGTGTGTTTGGAGGTGGTGAAGCTTCACAGATCCCCCGTTCGACACAGCCTGGGTTTTTGGGCAGTGCTTCCCGCAGGTGATAACACGGGCTAGCCCCGGCATCCTGTGATGAGGCCAGAGAAGCAACGCACAAGAGCTCTGGGGAAGCTTTGTGTCCTCGTGGCTTTCCAAGACTAGCTAAGAACAACTTTGAAATCCTTTTTTAACACAGTTGTTAGGTACTTCTCAGAGTGTCTGGACCCAAAATTTATTCTTCTATCAAGAGATCATGATTTTCTTGTAGTAGTGCCGTTTTTCATGCCAGCTGTCTGCCAAGCTTTCTCCGAACGGAAGCCTTCAGGTCATTCCACGTGGTACATAAGGCTTCAGGGTTTTACTGAGCATTAATCAAGATTGGTGGTATTGTGTAATTTACTGGAACTAAAGCTTTCCCTGAACCTTTATCTGAAGGTGAAAGGCACTCAGAAGTCTCCTGGGTTGATGACGGGTAGAAGCAAGAAACAAACGTCCCAAAGCCAAGAGCTGAGACCAGGATCTCGACAAGCTTGGGGAGGAGCCGGCGGGGATGCTCCCCGATCACCGGAAGGTCTGTGCGTTCAAGGGCATCTATGGACAGCTCCAACAGAGCAGACGGCATCTTCATTTTCATATGTTGCCTTTAAGGCTTTTTTTCCCTATTTTTGGGAGGCGTTCGGTGCTCGCCAGCTGTCTGTGCCTCCACGAGCGGAGCTGAATGAACACTATTTTCCACTCCCATTGTCTCTCCTGGCTAAATGCTGTTGCTGTGCTCATACTTTTATGACCACGGAGCCGGTACTCTGCACACACCACCACTCATGGCCCTACTATTATGCTTTTGGCAGGAACATGTTGGGTTTTTATGGGAATTAAAAAGCAAGAGTGAGAGAGAGAGAACCTGAACCAAAGACAACATAAAGGGCCATATTTTTTTGGGTAGAAGCCCAACAAAATTATTAAACAGCTCAAAGTGGAACAGAAAACTCTCTCTGAGCTGAGAGACACCCCACTCCAGCGGTTATTTGGTGCCCCCATGGAGAAAGGAAAATACTCCAAGAGGAGATGCTGGAGAAGGGGGATGGACCGACCCCGCCGGTCGCACAGGACAGCGAGTTGGAGCTGGAATTGGAGAGTGTTTGTCCCAGGCTGGCTGTGTCCATGGCTCTCCCCTTCCCTCCCACCCCTGCGTAATGCACTCATCCTCCTTACTCCCGAAGCTTTCCCGTGCTGTATTGCCAAGGAGAAAATCACTGTTGAGAATGATCAGCACCATCCCCGGGACCCCAGCCTGGGGCATCAGCTCTGAGGTGGCCCCGGCTCCGGCTGCAGAGGGTCCTGCCAGCAGCCCACTCGGCTCTTCTTCCCAGGCTGGGGGAGGAGATGGCAGAACCCCAAAAGCTCAGAAATTGCTTTCTGAAGAAAAAAAGGACTTAAAAAGAGAGTTAAATGTGAATGTTAACTTTAAGCAGGTCCCACTGAACGCCGGTGGCTGGAGTGCTGCAGCGCACGTGCTCCTCGCAGCGAGAGCAGAGATCAGCCCTGTGCGGGATGGAAAAGCTGGGAAATTCTGAAAAGTTTGGGTTTGGTTCCAGACTTTATCACCGACTGCTGCTGCTGCAGCGGCCAAACCAGCGGCTTTGATGTGAAATCCCAAACTCTGCAAGCATCTGCCTCTGAACATCGAGGGCTGGTTCTGCTGCCAGCAACAGGCGAGCTCCGTGCGAGCTCCAAAATCAGAGTGTGCTGGGGGCCATGGAAAAGGAGGGGGGTCCTCTTCCCTTCCCGTTTTTTTTGGGGGGGACTGCTAATGGCCCAAAGGTTTTTTGCATGTCTGGATTGCTGGGTCGCACGCAGACTGGGCTGTTTGTGGCTTCAAGGGTACTTTTGTGGCTCTTTTGTGGCTCCTGTGACACAAATTTAGTGGCCAGCCAAGGCTGACCTCCCATCAGCACCGCGAGCACCCCGGGTTTTTGGTAGCAGTCTCGGTGGAGGAGCCGAGCAGGGAGGAGCTGCACCGGGTCCCGCTCCGGGCACGTCCCTCTGCCCGAGGACTGTCCCTGCGGTGGTCCCCAGGGGCACCGACCCCATTCCTGTTCTGGCCACCCCTCTGCACACAGGCAGTAGCCACAGACCTCGAGGATGGGAAGTTGTTGCTTCTCAGCTGGAAGATGAGCATCTTCCACCACCATCCACAAACCTCCATCCAGGCAAACTCATTAGGAGCTTAATGAGCTGTGTCGTCAGAGCCTGCCGAGGTTACCCAGACCAGAGTGGTGACAACTGGGGCACACGGAGTCCCTTATCCTGTTGCTAAAATTTCTCTGCCTGTTGCTCTTTCCTGTCCATCTCTCCAACACTTCCTCTCTGCTCCGTTTTCTTCAGACTCCTCCTGACTCACTTCTATAGATCCCTTTTCCTGACATCGGTTGCAGGAGATGCTGGTGGACCCCAGGGCAGTGGCTGCAGCTGAGGATGCTGGATCGCCAGCACAGCCTCGTCACACCCTCAGATGCCCAAATCATGCCTCTGTCCCACAGGCTGTCCGTGAGGTGACCAGCTAAGGTGAGCCTAATTTTTCCTTACATATAAAATACCTGGCTACTATGCAGAGGAAACTAGAAGTCTCTCACCTGCCATGGGCTAAAACGAGATTGGAGGCTGACTCAAACATATCAAAATTGTCCTTGGCTTTGGATACAATCCTGGATATAGGATTGGAAAGAAATGTTCCGGGTGGCCTCTGTTCAGCACCTCTTCAGAACACGTGTGGACCCTTGATGAAAAGTGCAGCTCATCACCGTTGTCATCTCGATGATGAGATAAAGATCGTAGAGAAAACGTGGAGGAGGCGAGAAGCCAGCAAAGCCCAGGAGCCTTTCAAGGTTTTGTCTGACTTCAGC